TACCTCTTCAAGACGGACTTTCTCCGGGGCACTGGGCGCCTGCTCTGGTCGCACGCCTACTACGACACTGCCGTCTGGGAGAAGATCCTCAAGGAGATCTACGGCGACCGGGTGATGATCGACACGCGGCGCAGCGAGGACTGCCCTCACGTGGTGGCCATCTCCGCCATCGTCAACCTGCCCACCCTGCAGCCGTACCTCTTCCGCAACTACGAGCACCATCCCTCCTCGAAGCCGCTCAGCCACTTTGAGGGCAGCTCCTCCCATCAGATCTGGCAGGGCGTAAGGGCGTCGGCCGCCGCGCCGGGCTACTTTGAGGAGTTTACCGTCAACCAGCACGTCCACCAGGACGGCGGCATTCTCCTCAACAACCCCACGGCGGTGGCGGTGCACGAGGCGAAGCTCCTCTGGCCCAACGAGTCCATTCAGTGCGTGCTCTCGCTGGGCAGCGGCCGCTACCAGCCGAAGGTGAGCTTCGACCAGGAGAGCGCCGCCACCACCGCCACCCTCTCCAGTCTGAAGCACAAGCTGCTCCGCCTGATCGACTCCGCCACCGACACCGAGATGGTCCACCGGCTGANGAGCTTCGACCAGGAGAGCGCCGCCACCACCGCCACCCTCTCCAGTCTGAAGCACAAGCTGCTCCGCCTGATCGACTCCGCCACCGACACCGAGATGGTCCACCGGCTGATGATTGACCTGCTGCCGGAGGACACCTACTACCGCATCAACCCCTGGCTAAGGGACCAGGCGAACATTGACGAGAACCGCCCGGAGAAGCTTGAGGCGATGACCGTCGATGCGCAGATGTACCTCCGCCGCAATGACTACAAGTTCAAGCGGGCCGTCCAGCAGCTCAGTCTGGAGCGATCACTGGCGCAGACGGTCGTCGATACGGTCAAATTCAAGTCAACCCTCTACTTGTGATAACTCTCGTCGCTACTTTTTTCAGCACCTTTTTATTTAGTGTACATAATAATTTAGTGGCAATTTTTCAGACTTTTTACTAAACAATTTGTTTTTGACGCCTATTTTTCTTGATTCTTGATTTCTGTTTCTTGATGCTTAGAAGTTCATGGCAGTCGGATCGAGACCTTGGCCTTGTTTCTGCTGCGACTCGTAATAGGTCTTCATGATTGTACGCTTCATTTCGTCGTCGCCCTGGAAAAAGAGGAAAAAGAAAGGTTATTTGAAACATTCAGACTGAAAAGACAAAGAAAGCACTTACCTCGTCGTACATGTTCTTCATCAGTTTCATGATCCCGCCTGATGGATCATCGCCCATCGCTTCACTAGGATCACCCAGAGGGCTCTTCTTGAGGGCACTTTCACTAACATTCAGGGAAGGCCAGTTCTCAGCAACCTTCTTGTAGAGGGTGATGATTACTCGATTGGATTTAGTAATTTTGACAGTGCTCTTTTCAGTGTTGACGTCCTTGCAGAGGCGACCAAGAGTGAAACGGAACTTGCCAAAAACACAAGTAAAGCTAGTGTTCGAGACAAACTTGATAGACAACTGGTCATTCTCAATTTTCTGGTTTTTGTCCACCTCAATGTAGATCTTCACGAAATCATTTGTCTGATCCCACATATAGTTGGTGACAAGAATGATGCCCAATTCACTGCTGGAAGCCGTTTGAGCGCTCTGACCACTAACCGCAGCCTTGATCTTCTCCAGCTCCTTTTCCAGATTGGTCTTTCGTGTTTTTAGACGGTTGATCTCACGCTCAAGGAAAACCTTGTTGTTTGACAGCTTCGCCTGACTGACAAACTGTGACAGTTCGGCGATCTCTTCGGAGAGCTGTAAAAGACTTTTTGTTAGGACAAGCTTTTCATAACAGTAAACCTTTGAATGCTTACATTGGCAACCTCTTCGG